TATATATATATATATATTTTCATAATTTTTATATATGCAGATTGATTGTGACTAAAGTATATAGTTAAAACCTTAAAGCTATATAAATAAATATTAGAAATGAAAATGTTTATGGCGCAATTACTCCAATAAGTACTATTGCTATGCAGCCATATTTTATTTTTTATTGATAGAGCTATCGATCTAGTGTATAGATCACCACTGTCAGTTGGTTTCATTTAGTTCAGTGTTGAGAGGTTGCACTTAACATACAGAATGCACTAAAACAATCACTGAGACTTATTGTACGTGAGTGAGTTAGCATTTCGCGAGCTATTCAATTTTGGATGTGGAGAGAGCTCGAGATGTATACGTGAGTCATTGTATAGCCTTACTATAAGAAATCAAACTAATGCTGGATGATCTTTAGAAAAGGGCCGTGCATTTATATGATATATATATACTGCATGAAAAGCGCCGTATTCCAAGGTATTCACATGTGAATACGGGTGTGAATAAAACACATATTGCAAGCGTATTCCGACATGGAATATTAGTGTGAATACGGCATCGTATTCTTCAGTATTCTAAGTGTGAATACGCCGTGAATATGCCGCGTATTCTGACCAATATTCACACTTGGAATATCTCACTTCTCACTTAATCCGTGTTTCCACAAAATAAATTCATCAGCTGACATTTTTAAACTTTATTTTGAATGCTGAAAAATTGAAGTGGAATTTTATAAATAATTTGGCGCAAAAACCAAAAAGCGCGCTTTCGAGTTTAATAAACATTGAACGAGGAGATCGTGCGTTTGTGGCTGTAAGAAATCTTTTTGGCGCTTACAAATAAGGGAAGAGAGTGAAGGATGCCAAGGGATTGGTAAAGTCTGGAAACTCTGGTCGCAGTTAAAGAGCATGCCGGCGAGTATTTGTATGCTACGATTCCCACGAAGTCTGATGAAGAAAATGCGCGAAATAGAAATGAGATTGCATGGCGCGATTTCCACAGCACCTTATGTTCGCTAATACGTGTAAAATGATAACGAATATTAACCGTATTTCAAGGATTTTTTATTGTTCAAAACCGAAAACGCATATACTGTTTGTGCGTAAGGGACCTCTTCGGTGAGTGACTAAATATCGTGCAGTTGAATTCAATAGCCGGCCTATAGACTATACCCTATGACCATGTTGGGAGTAATCTCAACATTTTATTAACAAATTACCTGGTGATAAGAGGTTAATGGGTTATGCGTTCGCAGCCTGTGCGAATGTTTAGGCATTTATTGTCCCTCAAGTCTGTCCATTAAGGAAAATATCAATATGAACAAACATGCATAATCTTTAGGTTGCCATGTTAATTTGCATAGCAGTCATACACATTGCAATGGTAGGTTTATCCACAGTTAATGTGTTTTATCAAGGTTGATCAAATGCAATACTAAGATTTCAGTCAATTATTTAAATTTTATACAGTCCTTAACAAATCATGTACATGTGATAGGTTACAACATTTCACATTTTATAAAATATTATTGGAACATCACAAATTGTTCAAAATATGTAGCAAAAAACAGCCTATCATGAACTTCTACTAAGCTGTTATGATTTTCAATCTTTCATCAGCTGATTGTTAATTTATAAGCAATGTTGTTTTAGTATATATGAAACATTGCTCCTGGAGTATGTCAGAAATTATACTTAATAGTAAATTGTTGAGCAAAGCAAGTGATGTTTTTTTACTTGGTAAGATATTAAAAACTATAGGTGAGCAGATAATGAATCAGGAACTTCTTTCACTGGGTGAAAAATCCTCTTCATCTTTAGCAAAGTTAAGGCCAACTCTTTTGGGAATTTTCTCAATCTTGCAACCCCTGATGGCTAAAAACAATTAAAACCACCTTAAAGCAATTATTGAACAAAATACATAGCAAACTTTCTTAAGCTATAATAGATTATTATCCGAAAGGTTAATGATAATAGTAAAAGCTGATGTTGCATGCATGGCCATTTGTTTTTATTGTTGTGCATAGAATTTATGCAGTGTAATGAAATTATAATATTCCTAGGAGAATGTATATGTACAATGTACAATGTACACACCATTCATATAATTTGGAAACTAATCAATTAGGGTAAAAATGGAAACAAATTCTTCCATGAACTTAAAGCTGTATATACACATAGCTACTCCTAGTATGCAAACATCGAGAAGCTGTAGTAAACTCATCTACACTTTAATGGTATATTCTTTAAGTATTGTGATTATAATTTATGTACGGAAAAGTAATTGCAAACAAATCAGTAAACAGTCTCAGTTATAAATTATGATGAGGGCAATGTTAAAAGGCTTCACTTAAAAACACAGTCTAGCATGAACTTCTAAGCTGTTAAGATTTCTGTCTTTGGGCAGCTGGTTGTTAAGATTCCTATCTTTTGGCAACCAGTTCAATAGCTATTCTGTGGTAAATATTAGTGTAAATATAATTCATATATGCTAAAAGGAAAAATATAGGCCATTATTTTGTTAAAAAATATGTATTATATATAACTAAAAAACACAGTCTGGCTTTGATTTCTAAGCTGTTAAGATTTCTGTCTTTGGGCAGCTGATTGTTAAGATTTCAATCTTTTGGCAATCAATCATTAGCTATTCTGTGACAATTATATAACAATATATATATCTATAATATATAAATTTTGCCTAAAATATAAAAAACCCTCATGAAATGCACCAATGCACCTCATTTCAATGCATCTTGAAACGTCTATCTAAGGGTTATGTTATGTTAAAGTTATGATTACAGCAGCTTTCTGAATATTTGTGGTAGGTAAGAAAGTAATGTCCCTTTTCAGTATTGGCAAACTTTTAAATTTTGTTTGTATTGAGTATGGCTTTGAAATGGCAAACATTTGTACCTACTATAATTAGTGTGTGATGGAGGTAGGATTGATGAAAACCATCATACAATTTATTTATTTACAAGCAGGTACAGTTAGCTGTGTACAAATTAGCTACAATAAACACAATCGTAATCTATTTATATTAATAAAAACAAAAAAAGTGATGAGCCCAGCCGTAAAAGCGTTGGCCTCGCACTATTGTTGTTGTGTGTGTTTTTCAGGACTATAGTATGACATAACTCTTGTTATTATTAAATAACTTACCTGATTTTAGCGCCGCCACAAGAATTATTTTGGGGCATCGCGAACATCTTTAATAATTCAAAGTTGAACAGCTTGAACTTCTTTTGAAACCACGCATTTATATATAAGCGCCCTGGTTGAAACCAATTGACATTTGTGCCATGTTATCGTTTTGTAAACAAAGGGAACTGGACAACTTTTGCGAGGAATCATTTAAAGACATTTATTTGTTATTGTTATACGACCTCCGAATTTCGCCATTTATTCGCAATTTCGCCGCAATTCCTTGGCGCAAAAATTGTCACTAACATGTCGAAGAGGAAATTTCCCAAAGGAAATTTCCTACGATTTCCCAACACTGAACTGTATATATTACGGATGCTTTTGACGATACAGAATCATCAACTTTCTACCCATGTGTTTACGTATCCAAGCAAAAATAAAAGTATTTTTTTATATAAACTTCTTTTACACAGGTAATTAAAGAAATTGATGGATATTTCTCTTTTTATACAGCTTTTTTACGACTTACGAGGCTACTCAGCGCTCATCGACTGAGGATATACGATACTCGACATCCCTGCGGCAGCAAAAAAAATTAATCAAATAAAAATCATCGTGCGTTTGGTAACATTTATTGTCTTTATTGTCTAAACAAATCAAGTGCAATTTCAATTTGTGACCGTGATGAGAAGAAATGCTGGATAACAGTTGACACCGGCATTGAACTGAAACAACCTTTGCCTATTCCGTGGTATATAAACGCATTTCCTGCAATATTTACACAATATAACTCGTTGATTATCCCGTATTCATGCGTACAATCACATTTTCTATGCCGAAGTGTGAATACTAGGTCTTGAAAAATATTCACAGAGTATTCGAAGGTATTCTAGGTCAGAATACGCGGTGTGTTTTATTCACAGGTATTCACATCGGAATACCCCCAATATTCCGAGGATATTCACAGTGAATATCTGTGAATACGTGTGAATATGGACCATATTCGAACTCATATTCGCACGTATTCACCTGTGAATACGCGGTTTTTCATGCAGTATAGATACTATTATATATACATATATATGTTCTACATACTCTAGTCTCCACTATTGGGAACTTTAACAGTTTCTAACGCTATACTATAGTTATCTCGACTCTTTCAGCTCGGAATGAAAGGTTATTGTTCAGTTTAAAAGAACCACACCTTTTCAGCTTATACAATTTAATTGTTCATTTCAAAGTAGATGCTAAAAAATTACGTTAAAGAAAGCCGTGTTTTCGGCATGTACGAATTTGTCAGACCTTCACTTGAGCCGGTTTCAAACTCTAGAAAACAATCCCCAGGACCGCGGGTCGAACAAAAAGTTCCCTTTGTTTCAAAACCATTTGCGCTGGTCGAGAACTCGTTTTCAAAGTAGAAATTTCCTGTCGACTTGGTTACAGCCGGGATAACTTTCCTCAGTGAAATCAGGCTTTTTAATCGGACACTGCGTGACTTGTGGAATTGATCGTTAGACTTCGTTAATCAGCTTAGAAAAACAGGCCTAAAACTGTAAAAAAAAACACCTACCTGAATGCAGAGTACTTCTGCTAAACATGTATAAACGTGTCGTACGTATTTGATGAATTCAATAACATTTTCTCCCGAAGTAAATGACTACGAAACTATTTAAACTATTTCGAAAACACAAACTTCAATAATCCCATTTTGAAATGACCGTACGCCATTACTGCTTAAATTACTGCTTAATTTGCAAGCTTAGACAAAGTTTTTTTAATATTCGATCTCATTTCACACCTGAACGAACTCTCTTTTGTCTATATTAAACCCTGCATGCCAAATATGGTCTAAAGCACTTGAGCAACTGCAGTCAGTGAACAACTTCAATTTCGAAGTTGTCAACAAAATATTTGCAGAGTTGTGTTTATATAGCTCGGTGGAATCGTGATGCGACTATGTGTGCACTATATTTCACCTGAAGCGATTTCGTATTTGTTGGTAATATCGTGAAAGTATATTTGTTGGTTGAGTTTAATAATGAAAGATGGAATTCGAAACGCCGAACAAGCAAACGTTGGTCCGTTTAGTTCGAAAGTGTCTAAGCGAAAATTCGGAAGGTTTTATCGAAAGGGATCAATTTGTTGATTTTTGTTCAGAGCTTAGCGTTAGTACAGACGAATTGGACAGCGTATTTAACGAACTGGATAGCGACAAAGATGGTAGAATCAGTGTCAGCGATTTTACTACGGGCTACGAAAATGTTGCAACGTGTAAATCGCATCGTTCGGACGAGACAGTAAATGGCGTAATCGGTTCATTCGATAAATCTTTGTATGAATGTCAAGTAAGCAGTCTTGAAAGTCCTATGCAGGTTATAAGCACTAGCGGGTGAGTATATAAACGAATTAACTATGGTTTAATACGATTTTAATCTTCAAGGTGTTCGGGTGTTCACTGTTCACCTGTTCACGGACACTAACGATTCTTATATCAGGTGACGTTGTGAGAATATCTCATTGTAAGTCGATGCCTTAAATTCGCGTTGTTTGGTAAATATTTAAACAGTGAAAAATACAGACGGGGACTTTAACATTCGAAGCAATTCCCTTAGTTTATAGTTCGTGATTATCCTCGTACAAAAGGCTATCCTCTTTCGATATAAAGCTGAAACTATATAGCTCTATATAAAATTCAGTCACTTCAGTACTCTAAGATAAGTTGTGAACGCGTTTGAGCCCACGACTAGAGACACTTTACACATTAAACTATACCCTAATTTCAAGGTGTAGAATCTGGACTATATAGTTATCTTAAAATTGAATTAGATATCTAGTCAATTAAAGGCTTAGACGAGGTATGCATAATATATTCAGCACATATATTCTCAGTGACATTGTAATCGTTTCGATTGGGAATAAACCAAAAATATTCAAGGCCATATATGCTCAGTTAACTTACAGTTAAAAAGGCAAGCCAGGAAAAAGTCAGTTTAAATTGATAACTGCTACTGTGCATATATATATGTATATATATATTATAGTTATATACACTAAACGCTATAGAGATAGTTGATTATATCGTTATTTATCTTGATAATTCCTGTCGATCCATGCATGCATGTTTGCGATTAGAATTTTAAGTCAATAAGTAGGCATTCGGCTTCAGCTTTTTATTAGTGTTTGGTAGATGATTGGCAACTGGAGTTTGACAGTTATTTATTTAATGATCAGTTGACTAGCTGTTTTTGTTTTCAAACTGTTAGTTTTAACGTTTGCATGCAGTACGTTACGACCGCCAATTATCATGAAACATACCGTCTGTTACCCGCTGGTGTTTTGTGGTAGCTCTTATACAAGCCTTAAAGGCTTAAACCGTAACCTTTTGATGGGTTTCGTACTTGCATGTTGTAATAATTTTGACGACCTTTTTAAAATTATAAAGACCTGTTTTTCACCATTGTTCGGACTATAAAAGGCAATGCCTCAAATGGCAATGTCTCAGAATCTATCGGTTATCTAATTATTAGCCTATATATACAATTGAAAATCAGTGATAACGGATGGTCCTTGAAGGCTGTTGCTTTTATCCAGGCTCACTCAGTGTTTCTTTGAGCCAGCTATAAAGAGAATTATACAGATATATCTATCTAACAGCTATAATTTCAAAGAGTAATTGCGTAAATATAGATCTATTATTCGTGGCGGAAAAACCCGGAAAGTTTCGATGGTTCTGGTAAAGGCCTTGAACGTATGCGTCTGACGAAGTTTGTGTATCCCATAGCGACACCAAAGGTGTTAAGAGATACAATCTTGAAGTTACTAGGGAGGGTTACAAAGAGTACCCTTTCTTGATAATAAGAGAAACTTGTATTATACAAGTTTTTTGTAAAGTGTCCGGCTATTTGAAAGATCTATATAATGACCGCCATTATATGATATTGATCAGCGTTTTTTAAGCAACTCATCCCATTCAAGAGAGGTTTTTATCATGTGATTACTGTGTCAAAAATTATCCGTGCATAGTATATAGAACTTCATATAATATCTATGACTATATATCTATGACTATATCATTTTATATATAGCCCTTAATTATATATAGTTTTGCGATATAAACGTCTGCGATTCTGCGAGGGTATATTTTATTTAGTTATCGTCGTATAGGTGAGAACTTAAAACCTTTATGTTGCATAGGCTCTCATATTTATTATATACTATACGTTTCCAAAAGTTCCCCTGGATGTCGTGACGATCCATAGGTTTTGCCGAACTCTTCTTCAAAGAGCTTATAATAGGTATATATGCACATGTGAATGAGTAGTCTCTTGTTGGATATATATAATTAAAAATACAGTTATAATCAATAATAATAAAGTTGTAATCAAATCATTGAGTTATGATAGCGAAAGAATGCAACCTGCTTGCCGAAAATTGGATCGTGTGATCCTAAGTCGGTCAGCCGGGCTAGTTCAGGTCATGCAAACACGTTTTAACAAAAACCGTTATTCAGGACAAACAATTGCATGTGGAATTTTAATGAGTCATTGTTTGACGAGTGTAAGGGAGAACAATCGTCGCGTGCAAAACTGGAAATAAATCTTACAACGAACATTGTGTAAAACACAGCAAGAGCACTTTCGTATAGTTTGCGAGAATATTATTTGATATTAATAAACACCCGCAATTTAATGCACTCATGAAGATAACTTCGTTTTACCATTCGCGATGATCAAACCAGCTTTCCCTATACCGGCCAGCATGCATATCTGCAAAAATAATTAAATTCGTTAAATTCGTTAAAATTGTCTGTGAGGTCATTCCGTGCGTCCTCTTATAGTTTATGGCTCTCGACCAATGAAATTGCTTGAATTCTTAACATTATTATTTCTAAAAGTCAGATATCAAACATTGCATGTCCTTGCGCATCCTACCAGCAGCCATGAGCGACGTTCACCTAAAAGTTGAAACCACAACACTTTCCAATTTTTTCTTTTTAGCTTGTTTAATTGAACTCGTCAGTTATAGTAAATGTTTCCACACTCTTGACAAACTATTCCAGATTCAAACGATTCCAAAAATCGCCTATATTGAACACTGGCATGAATGCGACGACCTTTTTATGATATTCATATAGTTGTTTAGAAGGAGCCGAACTAATCTTTCTCTCTTTCTACATTCCAGTCAACAGTATATCTCCGAACTCTACTACAATCTGACGAACTCCAACCAGCCAGATCTTCTAGATCTGTTCGAGAAACACTTGGCAAGCGTTGTTAAGGAAATCAAGGCCAAGGCCGGAGAGAACCAGAGATTGGAAGACGCATTGAAAAGGTATTGTTGAGTGCGATACTTTTAATAAAGTGTCTTTATAAAGGATTAGCTTTTGAGAGTAGATTTACTTGCAATTGCAATATTAGAGTGAGAGAATTTTGACCATTCACTGTAAACTATATGAGTAAAATTATCAAACATTTTTTCCATAGGGCAACCAAGCAACATGCAAGACAAGTTAGTAATTTGGATAGGGAGGTCGAGCAGCAGATGGAAAAACTGGAGACAAAAATTCGTCAAGAGGTGAGCATTGAAAATCAAGAATTTTTTTCATTGAAGTAGACTGCTGCGCATTCATAGACTGCTGTCCGAGATGATATGGACATCATTCTTAGCAATGCATGGTCTTTCACTTTGTGTGCGTGCCATTCTTTTCTATAAACAAAGCGATAACAAATTCATGGAAAAGATCATGATAGTGTTATCCTCTGATGGCGATCTCTAAGTAAATCTATAGGAAAGAATTTCTAGCATTGAATGCAGAGTTCTTGAAACACTCTAAAATACCAGTAATCTATCTGAACCGATATACAACAGGACTGGTCTGGCCTTTTTCTCCGTATAAAGGAAAGCGCCCTAAGTTTCTTCATTTCTATAGTTCCGCAAAAATGATAATTGCTTTCCTTTTTAGGAGAAATCTTCGTACGAAAAGAAGCTGTCTGACTTCGAATGGCAGTTGGAAGGGAAGGAGAAAGAAATCTCAGCGATGAACAAAACGATTGAAACGCTTCAAACGCGACTTGACAAAGAGACGAGCAAACCAAACACTCGTCGAGAAGAGTTTGAAAATGTCGCACAAGAAAATAGATACTTGAAAAGTCAAGTTACGGACTCTCAAACGACACTAGCGTTGCTTAGGAGCGAACTTGCCGAACTTAAAAGTCAGTTTGTTGAGCAATCTGACCAATTACAAAAGGAACAGAACAGAGCCGAGGGCTGCGTTCAGGAATATGATAATTTAACGAGACAGTTACAGCTGTTGCACGAGGCGAACCAACGCCTGCAAGATGTGAATGACGAACTTAGAGGCGCTCTTGAGACGAAGAAAAACTCAGCTCCTGAGAGGAAAATCAGCTCGGAAGTTCTGAGGATGTCTGGTGTTTTTCCTGATCCTATCGTGTAAGCTTGATATCTCTCTGTTTTTGTAGCGATCTGTACAATTCTGAAGTTTCTAGCCTGATTTTACAAATGTCTTAAGCCCGGTTTAACTTATTCGCGATAGCCATATTGTCGGTGGACATAAAATGCTTTGCCAATCGAGAAAGATAATCTTCTTCATTGATCATCGACAACCGTGAATAATAAGTCTCGACATATATAGACCAGGCTTTTAAATACACGTAGTAACTGTCTAACTTCAGAGATATAACCTCCCTCTACTATTTTTGTATAGAAATCATGGGTTATCGTCCAGTTTGCGATCCAACACTTTCCCGCGTTCTAAATCTGCCACGCCACCGTTGGGATCCAGGCACGCCGAGTACCACGGTGCTGATTTTAACGACAATACCTTTAACGAGGATTCGTTATTCTCTGAGATTCACCGAGCGAGCACGGTACGTACTACGATTTTTGAAAATGTTAGAACAATATGTAGCACTAAAAGAGCAATTAAATTCTCGACAGTATGTCATTGTACGAGTGACTTCAAGCTTATATGTTATGATCACTTAAGGCTAGTTTCCATGCACCCAGGAAAAATCTCCTTTGGATCGGAACGGACAGGAAAAATTCTTTTGTCGGCGAGTTCTCAGGCGGCGTTGATACAAAGGAAACTTTCCTGTCCTGTCCGATCCAAAGCAGAATTTTCCTGAGTAGAAACTTTAGCCGCAATTTAACTCGGGAAATACTTAAAAAGACTGCATATATTCATATACTGATTTCGACTGACGTTTATCAACCTTACTTGACGTGCTTTTAAATTTAAACAGGCATCTAAAACAGATGAAAAAACTTTGGGCAAAACGATATGTGACGACAACGTTACGAAAACTTACGACAACGACGTAAACAAACCAAATCCTAACAAAACCGATGTGAACATACAGACTCAAACATACAACGAACATGAGCCAAGCGCTTTAGCTAAAATAATGAATGCTCTTGCGACTAGAAATAGGAACACAAAACCTGTTTTTAAAAATGCGTATTTACACGAAATCGATGTAAAACACTCCACAAACAACCCGAACTCTGGTAATCAAAGCAGCACGGATATTTCGCCTTCTAAGTTTCTCGGTTGTGATGATGTAATCGAATGCACGTATGGAGAATTTGAAAATGATCTGAAAGCGGGCATTGACATTTCATCATCCTCGGACTCGTTTGTCCAATTTCATGAATCAAAGTCTTTATCAACGGAGGTATAAATTACCTTTTATAGCTATATATAATGAATGAAGTCATCTGCATGGAACAGAACTTCCGCTTGCCCTCTTTTATACTGAATCGGACCACAGGAATTAATCAATAGACCTTTTTCATGATACCGCCAAACGCGGAAAGTCTGATGTTACACGAAGTTTGATAGTTTTGTGGAGCCAATCAAATTTCGTGTAATATCAGACTTTCCGCGTTTGACGTCATTATAAGAAAGGTCTATTATATTAGTAACTTTATCGGTGTGTTTTGCGGGCTAAAATGAGCAACAATAAATTAATTTCCACTTGCCTCGTGGAAGATTCAGAAAACTCCCAAACAACATTACAACTCTAACACTCCAATCTCCGTGCAAACATTGCTAACTCAAAGTGTATTACCATTGAAAAAATGGAGGACTGCATGCGGTGGACATGTTTTTATTGGACTAATTTGAAACTTTTAATTTGAAAAATTCTCATATAGCCATACAAGTCAGACTCTATAGACGAAGATGACGATGAAGCATATGGCACGATGTCAAAATCAAAGAAAGCTCAAGTTCAGAGACAGATTCAGATTCTCGAGTAAGAAATCGTTTAATTCTTATTTGCCATAGTTTTGTTGGCATTTGCATGTATATATTTACCCTCGTATGTCGTATCTACAGTCAACGAGATTTATAAGCAGCCCGCGATAGGATTCCGCCTGCTCCTCGATTGCATAAGAATTCAGGGCGGTGCAGATGGAAAGGTGGATCGATATACAACGCTAGTCATTTGATAATGATTCTTTGGTAGTAATGAAATCATCCCATATTTGCACCGGTCTTGATAAATATAACGTGACAGATCACGAGATTATAGACTTTAAAATTTATCTTTTTAGGGACACGAATAAGCGACTAGGTTCAAGTAATGATGAACTAAGAGTTGCTCTGAAGGTACGTTCATATCTTATAACACAGAGTTTACATTTTGACATGCAAAAATACATTGCTTCTTCATTCTATTTGCAGATGATGGCAAGAAGTGGGAGCTTTCGCAAGGTAAAACCTTTAAATACAGCGTTTTCATGATTTAATCCTGTGTATGACTGAGTGAACTTAAACAATAAGCTCACATAAACCTGAGGAGACAATCGGCATTTCTTTTGCTACCATCCCTTAAGCGCTCAGAGTTTGGCCAAGGTTTTTATAAGACAGTCTTCACTAATCAACTGTATACGAGCTGATGTCGTTTTTTATCGTTGGTCTATGAAAATCTGGAGTTTTCTTTTCAAAAATTTATTGCCTTTACATTTCCACATATATTATACTTGGGCATCATGAATTAAGCTTTAAAGCTATAGAAACGCGATAATATATAATTTTTTTGTTATATATACTTTAGCCGAAAAAGACGTCATCTGGAAGTCGCCGTCCCCACAGTTTCCATAGCGACTACAGTTCTCTCTCAAGTAACAGAAGTAGTCGAAGTCTTTCACCAAAACAGTAAGTAAAAGGGAATTCAGCCAACCTTTTACAAGTGTATACACCCACCTGCACAATAAATTTTCACGAAGATTTAACGGAACCCCAGGTCCACAAGGCTTCACGTTTGTATTGAATTAAGTTCCAATCTTGGGTTGGTTAATTAAGGGGTTACATTTGATTCAAGTTTGAATTTCTTTATATTTCAGCCAATCTTACATGTGTTTTCTCGAATTTATATATGCAACTGAGCTAGTTAGACTCGTCTCAATTATTTTCATCTAACGTATTCCTTTTGATATTGTAGAAAGCGTTTGTCCAACGGAGATATTGGTGAGGCCACAGATGAATCAACGACTTATGACGTTGAAGAAGAAGAGAATGTCGGAACAGTAAGTGAGAATGTCCTACATTTATTTATTTACCATCTTGCTTCCATGCAGGGTAAATGCATGTAGAGTGTATAAATTAAATTGAAATACTGAATTAAAATGCTCTTATATTTTTAACAATTAATGGCAAATTATATGCTTTACATTCCGCGCTGTAATTTGTTCCGATCACAGGAACGTACGTTATCAATTAATATAATCATGTTTACATACCGTAATAACACTGAATTGTTCTCAAAAGAAATCAGTCAGGAATAGCACGAATATGCGAATATTCGTTTTTCCCAATTATTTAGGTGACTGCAGTGTAGTTTAGCATGTAGGAGACATATTTTAAAATTTCCTCCTATATAAAATACAATTTATACAGGTACCTAAACAATTTTAAGTGGAATCATGCAGGGTTTGGAAATGCTACAACAATAATTTCCTGCAAGCACACAGTACATAACCCATAACGAAACATTAAACACTACGATAACCATTTAACATGTGTCGGAAATTTCTGTTGCATTTATTAAATCCTAAAAAAATTACAAAAAATAATCTTAACTAAATCATACTAACCTAAATGTCCAGATCCGATTAAAATTTACCCAGTTCAGCTACGCGTATAAACGGTAAACTCTTACGCCTATAAAAAAAACAGGATAAAAACTGATAAAATTTTAAACTTTTTAACATAAGATTGTCGAGGAGTCATTGAAAGATTTGGTTCAATACTCAAAAGAAAGCGAGCTTGCTGTCGACCAATCAACTGATGATTGTAAAATTGAAAACACGACTGACAATCAAAATAATAGTCTATGTGAAAATGCGACAGAAGTTCCAGAAACGCTTGGAGCTGGATTGCAAAAGTCTAGTTCGAATGGAGATCAGGTTGATCGGACAGACTACGATGCTTGTGTGGATCTAAGGATCCTTCAAACGAGAGAATATTAAACGGAAAAAAAGTAAAGACTAGATCTAAGAGTTTGGAGATGTTTTATATTGAAAATTTTGCTCACTTAGACAGAGATGAAGGTAGTATGTCTGACGGAATTCGCCATGATCAGGATTTTGAGGAAGAGCGATTAGAGGATTTGTTGCAAAATCTGGTATTGGAAGATGATTGCTGTGATATTGTCACTGAAAACGATGGCACGGTAGACAATGGGGACAAAAGCAATTACGGACAACACGAACAGCCGTGATATCGCAAAAAACAATTCTTGCAATGGGAGCAACGAGGAGAACAAAGGACTTTGGGAGATAACAAAGGCGTTAAACGCTTTCGAAGTGTACAAGAGTCAGACATCGTTGAACGAGTTAAGTTGCATTGAAGAGGAGGGAAGCAATGAAGGGGATAGCTGCAGTCAAGAGGAAAGGGAAGAAGAGGGTCTTGTGGGGAAAGAAAGCAAAACTAACGCCTTGGAAGAAAGGTTGGTTTGTGCGAATTCCAAGGAGGATGTACAAAATAGAGACAAATCAAATCGCAACAAGCACAATGATAGTAGGACTGAGGCACAAAAAGGAGAAAAAGGGAGAATTGAAAAGAAGAAGGATGATCAAAAAGATACAGATATGGATTCATTGGAAGATGAAGAAGGCTCTGAAGATGAATTCTCAAGTGGGAATGGTTCCGCGGAAGGGGATGGGTTAGAATTGGAACCATTGGAGCAAATGAAACTGGATCAACGCGAGTTGGAAGGAAACAAAAACACGGTTCCAAAACACCAAACATTCACTGAGAATCGTCTGGGGAAGGTCAAAAAAAGATCACCAAATGAGAGTTTCGAGGAAAGTAAAATCGACGATCAAATGAGCAATAAACATGGACTCGTAAACGGGGGAGGGTTGGATTTAGATAAAGGGGCGCAGAGGGGAAAGTTTCTAAAGAGAGGGAGCTACCAGAAATCAGACATCAGGAAAATGGACTCGAGGAAAATGGACTCGAGGAAAATAGACTCCAGGAAAATGGACTTCAGGAAAATGGACTTGGTGGTGAAGATAGTGAAGAAGATGATTTTGATGACGAGGAAAGCGAGTTCGACACGGATGAAGAGGACAAGATCAGGGTGCGAAAAGGAGGCGATGGAAGTGACAAGGGAAAGAAGAATTTGTCGTTCAATGAGAGTTTAGAATATGACGATGACGAAAGTTATGATGATTCATATGATGAAGAGAGCGAATATTCAAGCGACGAAGAATTGTCAGACTCCTCGACTGAACAACATCAAAAGGTAGAAAATAAATCATTCAAACATTATAAAACATCAGTACTCGAGTAAACACTGGTAATCAGTTCGTTAAACTAAAAACCTAGTTCCAATTATAATAAAATAAACTTCATAATTAAAGAAATCTAAACCTAAATCAATCCATGTCTTTTGCAACATTTTCGGCCCTCGATTTGACGGCAAAGCAAGAAAGATTTGCTACTTTAACAATTCCTAAAATAATTTAATGAGGGGAATTTAATTATGTTTTTGAAAATGGAGAGTAACGTTAACTTTCCTCGTGTTTCATTTAAACCATATTATTGCAATTTAGGACCTTATTAAGCCAGTTCTCTTTTCGTTGTTGACCTTTATGCAATATTGCTTCTTCTATTGTTTCAGGACAGCACGGCAACAATGAATTCAGAGACAATCGCTGAACTTGAAACTCAGGTATGCATCTATAGAATTAAACCACTCGGTCGAAGTGAAGAGTATTAGCAGATAAATTTAATCAATGACATGAAAGATTAAGTCTGGACCACTTTGTCAGGTTTTAGCTTCTCTCTTGTTGTAACAACAAGATTTAGTGCACAATTTTTTAATATCATTCATAGTAACTTGTGAAATGATACACTGTATCATATACACTGTAATGACATGTACACGAATTCAATGTGACCCAGTGACATCACTGTTTATGAACCGGCTTTTCGACGACGATTGTATACCTATTTTAAATTTGGCTTCTTAGTTTAAGAAAATAACAGAAAGCAAAGATGAGGAGAAAGACACTAAGAGTGACCTTGATGACGACGACGATGAAGATGGAATGGATTCTACTGAATTGGCAGAATTGGTTGCCATGGCATCGGACTTGACTGACGTCACAGACTCGGAATCCGAGACGGGAAGATCATCAAGTGGCAATAGAACAGGGGAGATATCGACCATGACTGAAATGAACGGTTCCGTAAGTTTTAAGATAAGGTTCAATCAGTTCTCAGTTATTTTTGATCTTTTGACTTTACGAAGAAAGAGAATCAATTCTTATACACCACAATTACTTGACAGCCATTTTGCATTAGCAAAAACGGCAGGTTGAAGTTTAATCCGAGGATCAGTCTTGTCGGGTCTCTCCAAAGCTCGATCAGTTGTATTTTTTCGCTCCTGATCTGTTTTCGCCGGGGTTGATGACGTGACACGTGTGTAATTTAAGTACATTTCGGATCTAACAGATTTTGTATATAACAGTTATAATTCTTCATTTTTCCCATTTTCTCTTTCTTAGCCGAGCTACGCCACCCCAGAGAGAATGTACAAGCTGGTCTTGGCCGGAGATGCTGCGGTCGGAAAGTCAAGTTTCATTCTTCGTCTTTGTAAAAACAAATTCCATTCCAGTCTCAATGCGACACTTGGTAAGTGGAACAAAACCTACTGGCATATGAGTGCACTTTTCATGATGTTTTTTGTCGTTCCGTTGAGGTTTGGGATTTGGTGTATGTTTTTCTGGAGGCATGTCAAAGCTTCGGAAAGCAATAATCACAAACTGATGCTCTCATTTGCTGTTTCCAGGCGTTGATTTTCAAGTGAAGAATCTCAAAGTGGATTCAAAAACTGTCGCACTTCAACTGTGGGATACCGCCGGTCAGGAAAGGTAATGTAGAAATCTCACTCAGGTGATTCACTCAGGTTCATAATGTCCTCAAGTGCATGGGTTTTGTTCGTCTGTACTCTCTTAGATAAATTTGCTAAGTCCTCGAGTCATTTTGCAGATCGCTTTACCAGACTATAAGCTCATCACAGATTATATAGCTAAATATTTTGGGGATTCAGACACCAAACGTTGTGGTTGAAAAGAGGTCGGATTTTTTATGAGAGTCGATAAATGTTCCAACTCTTATCAACTCATCTTAAATCTTTCAGATTTCGTAGTATCGCAAAGTCATACTTCCGTAAAGTGGACGGTGTACTACTCTTGTACGACGTTACGTGTGAGGCATCATTTGTTAACATCAGAGATTGGATGTCCACGATAGAGGTAACTTCATATCATTGTGTTTTTTCATAGAAATTACGCAACACGCAAGTTGAACGCTGAGCCAATACTACACTATCTAAAGCCCGCCGCACACGAGAGAGCTATTAGCTGAGGTAAAGACCACGCGTGGCTGTTAGCTGATCAAGTTACTCTCGTGTGCGGATAGTTTTTCGTGAGGAATTCGCCTCGAAAGGCAAGTTTCTCACGTATGCGGATGGTTTTCAGGCTGTGCTTACTGCCTTCCGAAGTCGTTAGCTCAGCTGATAGCTCTCGTGTGCGGCGGGCTTAAAAGACATGAACGCGGGTTCGCGGTAGTTAATCCCTGGTCCTTGCATCCCTGGGTAAACATTCCATAATACATTTTTATTTGAAACCGCTATCAGTTAAAATCAACCGCAATGCAAAGCTCTAGGGATTCTTGATAAGGCGATCAAGTATTCATAAATGTTTGATGAAGATTAGTTTGTGCTTGGTAAACAGTGTCCCGCAATTATAGCAATGCCATGCAGCTTAATAGACTAACATATAAACAAAGTTTTCATCTTGAAATAAGAGTTCAGTTTATGCCCAGCACAAGGCACGTAAGCCATAACAAAGTTACATTTATTGACTATTATTATATCATTATGTTGACTACTGGTGTTTATTTTGCACATCATATTATTATATTGACTATTGATGTTTATTTTACTTATATTATTATATCGACTATTGATGTTTTACTTATTATATTATTATATTGGCTATTTTGATGTTTTACTCATGTTTATATTAAAGGAAACCATAATGTCTTCACTCCAAAGTTCATCCAATAATCTTAGTGGTAAATGTCTTTAAAGTGGTAACGCTTCATTATCTTATCGTTTTTTATATTGTTTTGCAATAGGAAAGCTCTCAAAAGAAAGTCCCCATCATGCTATGCGGAAACAAATGCGACCTTCGTGACGAATTTCTCATGGAAGGAAAAAAGGTCATCTCGACGGAAAGTGGCCAGCGGCTTGCGAAGGTATGTGTGAACATATCGAATTTAGCCCATAAATATCTCAGTTTTTCTTCCTTTCTGCTAGTATCAGCAATCCAATTTATAAGCCAGGTTTTCACCGTAGCTCCTCGTGCTATGTGCACACGGTAACGTTTTCAAGCGTTTTCAAATTCGTTTTCATGCCCGAACGCTCTCAAAACACCGTCAATTTACAAATGATAGAAGTTAAAGCTAATTTAACATATTTGGGATATTTTCCTTGGGTCGTGTGGACAACGCGTCTAAACAACAAAAAAGACAAAAACGATTTTGAAAACGCTTAGAAACGACGCTCGTGTCCACATAGCCTTAGACTAATTGATTCCTAGCGATATAGTATATTGACTGCATGTATAATAGAAAATTCACCTTATAAAGGGAACAGACATACTATTACATATTAAACAGCCAACTAAGGCAACCATTACTTTCGTTATATAATGTAAAATGGTAAAATGTACATTAGTATCGTTTTGGCAATCCCCGTTAACTAGAAGAGATAATCTTGGCATACATGACAGTTGACATCTATACATGAGGAGCATTTTGAATTTGTTTCTCAAGCATCGGGGCATTGCCAACTGTAGCGTTGGCACAACTTCAACACGTTAAAATAAATGTGAAACACAATTGTATTTCCTCCATTCCTTTTTAAGCATTATGACGCGTTGTTCATCGAGACAAGTGCAAAGGATGGAAGCCGTATTGAGGAAGCTTGTAAGGAACTCGCGAGGTTTGCAAAGAGTTTAATAATATTCTTGGCCACAAGTTTCATTTATATAATTTGCTATGTTCATGCACAGGCGAACGTACGATGTCTTGTTTTAGCCCAAGTTTCTCCATATCAAAAATTCATTTGTGTGTGTTTGGATAACGAAAATAATGCCTTAAGGCTTGAGTCAGTGCACAATAGACGTTTTTTAAATGATCGGAGATTTCATGCACTCCATATAGGGTTGCAAACAATTCTTATATTCGAGTTACCTAAAATCTAAGAAAAATTTTCCACTTTCGAAACTCCATTACGTCTTTTTCTAAAAATGCACATAATTTTGCAATGATTTGCACGTTATCAAAAATTAGACTCCATGATTGATTAATAATTATCGAATTTGAATTTAGTTTCTTGTCTAACAGAGTTCTCACCTCATTGGAGAATGAAGAGATCGAACAAAGTGGTTTGAGACTTGAGAAACCGGAGAAGGAGAAGAAGAAGCGTCCATGTTGTCCCTCTTAACGATCCATGCGATGAAGCTCGTATCCGGATTATGCTGGTCGACGATTGAACGAACCACAGCCGGCCAGGCTTTTCACGTCACAGTTGACGCTTAGAATAATTCAGACAAGATTTGTAGCAATGCACAAATGGAAAACATTTTGCGTACATCCGTTGGACATGCGTCTACCGTTGAACCATAATCGGTCTGGTATAATGATCCCGAATATTTGACTCTTAGAGACACTTCAACCTTGAAACATTCAAGGAAACATGTTTGAACTTGAAACCTTGGTTCAAACTACTAATTGTGAATACTAACGCAACATTCATCGTATAACCAATCCAACAATGTAAATGACTCATTCGTAGAAAGGAGAGTATATTTAATTTAGTAATTTTATTGGATTTCAAAATAATATAGATGATGTTATTTAAACATTTGTGAGCATGTTGGTATATGAGTATGTGTGATATATATGTGGCAACAGTGATCACTGAGCTGGTACCTTTGTTCCCATGCAAGGCAAGTATATAACTTTATAAGCATCAGAAGTATCCACCCACGTAGTGACTAACTCTCCAATTCTACTGTTTGTTGTCGTTTTGTTCTATTCCATGCTTCCATGGATCGGAACATGAGTATATAGGCTAATGCGTCATCCGAAATACTATAAATGAGTGAATCGGATCTCAACGGAAGCAGATAATGTAGTTACCTAAGGTAACTAAGCGGGTAGGTATTTGTCTTGCTCATTACCACTACCCCAACTATTAAAGGAACATGAACCAAACAATTGCGATAAGTCTATAAAATCAACCAGGAACGAGCGCCAAAGATTCATCAATGAGAACTCTGCAGCGCGAGGTGCCGCTAGTGGTAATGGAAGGCAGTTATAGAAATATCGCATATCGGAAGCTTTGTCAATTGACAATAGAATAGATCTGTATGCTAGTGCTAGTGTGCATAGTTCAATGTGCATAATGCAAAACCATCTAAATAGACGTGGGGAGGAGGATAGCGGGGTAGTGCGCTTAATTGGGTGAAGAAGGACTGGGCATAATTTCACCTTTCACAAAGTGAAGGTACGAGGCTGCAGAGACCGCGGAGCAGGGTGGCTCGCCGGGCTTTAGCCCCACCAATAATTTTTCCGTAATTAGTCTTTAATTTCGAACATTTTTTAGTTCGCTAAATTTAAAAGCAATATTTTTAGCAATTTGTATTTTTTGCTTACATGCAAGTATATGCAGTATCTTATCAAACATGCCTAAAACTTTACATAGGACCAGCATTTGCCATTATAAAACAGCGTGATAATCCATGGTCGAGCAATATGCTTGCAACTTTCCAGAGGAACAGCATTTGCATGACCATTAAAACAGCGTGGCCAGAATTAGACCATGGTCGAGTATACCGCTCTTCGGCACATTCGACCATGGTTGCATGCCGAGTATACCGTTTTCCGGACAAATTCGATTGCAAATTGCAACTTTATATAGATGTTTGTATACGAGCACCAAACATGCTTGAAACTTTACATAGAACCAGTATTTGACCATGAAAACAGCGTGATTATCCATGGTCGAGTATACCGTTTTTCGGCACATTTGACCATGGTCGACGGTATACCGTTTTCCGGCCATATTCGATGCTTGCAAGTTGCAACTTTATATAGATGTTTGTATATGAGCACCAAACATGCTTGAAATTTTACAGTAGCACCAACATTAGACAATTTAACCTGCGTGGTTATCCATATCAAAATATTTGACATCATAACCAAAGCGTGGTTATATTGTTTAAAGTTTGTATATGAGCGCCAAACATGCTGGAAACTTTACATAGGACAAGCATTTGACCATTAAAACAGCGTGGTTATCCATTTCAAAAAATTTGACATCATAACCAAAGCATGGTTATATTGTTTAAAGTTTGTATATGAGCGCCAAACATGCTGGAAACTTTACGAAGTATCTACTATTTTTCAATAATCCTTAAATATTGATTACACTTTATTCATCCCTAACTATTATTAACTAACTTACTACTCTTGTTTATATAAGTATTTCCATGCATAAATTAGAATATAGTTATATAGTTAGAATAATGTCATTAAAGAACTAGGTTATTATGCCCGGATACTACAGTTTTCCGGCCATATTCGATGCTTGCAAGTTGCAACTTTATATAGATGTTTGTATATGAGCACCAAACATGCTTGAAACTTTACAATAGCACCAACATTAGACCATTTAACCTGCGTGGTTACCCATTTCAAAATATTTGACATCATAACCAAAGCATGGTTATATTGTTTAAAGTTTGTATATGAGCGCCAAACATGCTGGAAACTTTACGAAGTATCTACTATTTTTCAATAATCCTTAAATTGAGAGGCATTTGCGGCCATTTTAGAGGCCTATGTAAAAATTTCCCGGACTGTCCTCGCAGGCGCGCGGTTCCGAGCCCCAGCAATACGAAAAACGCTCGCGGTCCGTGAGTTGTCAAGTCACAAAGTAACGTGGATTAACGTGGATGAAAGTAATACGAAGTATTCCCATCACTACTCACCGCAGAACATCGCTGGCTCAAAGATTTATCCTCACGTTTTTCGATTGATGTAAAAAGTAAAAACAGTGCAAAAATCATTGTTTTTTGTTGATTTTTGTCAGTTTTTCACGGGTTAAGACGCCGATCACATTACAAAGAGGTCTGTAGTCTTCTGTAGTGTCCAAAAATGGATTTTCAGAACAGAGCTGGCGGTAAGACGGGTAGTGGAGGCGTAGCATCGTTCTCTGAAAGTAATCGTGACAGACGAGAACGATTGAGGCAACTTGCTTTGGAGACCATCGATCTTAACAAGGTTTGGAAACTATAGATTCAAATAAAGTATAACTTGTGATTTGATACAGTTAGAGTTTCGCATGCGTATATCATATAAAATAAAATTGTTGTCCATTATTCAGGGGGGGGAGATAATTCATTGTTTAACACTTTTTTAGTTTCCTCATATATTTCTACCATCATAACCTTTGAAACATAGAAATTACCCATGATAAAAAAATTGTCGCAATGTCATTAAATAAATGTTCAATGGTTTGGCTTAGTAACAACTGTTTTAAAGAAGAGCGTTTCTTAGTGCACTTAATAGAAATGTCTATGTTGGCATCTCGACAATAGACCTTTTTCATAATGACGTCAAACGTGGAAAGTATGGTGTCACACAAAGTTTGATTTGCTCAATAGTTTTGTGGAGCAAATCAAATTTCGTGTAACATCTGACTTTCCATACATGTTTGGCATCATTATAAGAAAAGTCTATAGCATTGGTGCACTGATGTGCCAACATTTGTTTCAACAAAACAGACCACAGGAAGTCCAGCCTTATGTGTAGGACATAATTTGCTAGTAACTGCAATGTATAGAGAAATGAAAATATGTTAAGAGCTTTGTTTTGCAATCCACTGTAACTAATACTTAATGTGTCATGTGTGTATTTTTTATAGGATCCATATTTTATGAAAAACCATCTTGGTTCTTATGAATGTAAACTCTGCTTAACCTTGCATAATAATGAGGTATTGTTTGATTGTCATAAAGTATCATTAAGTTTTATTGTGGTAATTTTTAACTCAACGTGGTTTTTTTTATAACAGGGAAGTTACTTGGCCCATACCCAAGGAAAGAAACATCAACAAAATTTGTATGTTTTTAAGATTGTCAAAACTGCGACATTTAAAATGTATCTGTATTAAAACATTTTAAGTGAAGCCATGAGTATAGGGAGGTGTCTGGGGGCACTAGGTGTCTAAAACATAGTCTTATTTTTCCAATATAGGGCAAGGAGAGCTGCCAAAGAAGCGAAAGAGGCTCCAGCACAACCTCAACCTGTAAGAACTTTTTGTAATTGGAGAACATTACTTAGAACTATGCTTGTCTAACTATTGGGTTGTTCAACAAATACCTGTGTTTGTTGAATCATGTAGGAGAAACCTAGAGTGTCACTAAAGAAGTTTGTAAAAATTGGTAGACCTGGGTACAAAGGTATTGATAAATGTTTAAATATCATAAATCTGACATGAATGTGAAATATTTTGTGTCTAACTGCAATATTCAAAGACTTTGCTGCATTAAATTTTAGTGACAAAACAGAGAGAACAAGGCTCCGGACAACATAGTTTACTTTTTCAAGTAAGAAATTTGCAAGCTTGAATTCAGGGAATTTTGTAGTAATTTTAATTTAGCTTTGTGTTGCATTGTCTTTTTTGCTTAGATTGACTATCCTGAGATCGCAGAGGGTCTGACACCCAGACATCGTTTTATGTCTGCCTACGAGCAGAGGATTGAACCTCCAGATAGATCTTGGCAATACTTACTATTTGCTGCTGAGCCTTATGAGACTGTGGCTTTCAAGGTGAAGGAATTTGGCTTCTGGGATGAACCAGATAATTCTAATTTTGTCAGCTGCCGTGGTTAATCACGAAAAACCCATCACAAATACAGCAGTCCAGTGTACTCTAAAAGTCTTGTTTTGTATAATCGAATACTTTAGTTTATTTCTTTATTTAGATTCCCAGTCGAGAAATTGACAAAAGTGATGGTAAATTTTGGACCCATTGGAACCCAAACACAAAGCAGGTAAAATACAGTCGATTTTTTGAGTTCATCATGAAAATGGCTAAGTTCTAAAACTAGGCTGACATCTTTGAAATCATCAGGAGATTTGTGTAAAATAACTACCTCATTATGAAGAAACAAATTTGCAAAGATGCAGATATGATATTCACCAAGACTGAAATACAATGCTATACTGTTTGAAAACCGACAATTTTTTTTTTCATACCAATTTTAATTGCAAGACAAACTCAAGTTGTGGATTGTTTTCAATCAAAGAGAAATAAATGTCAGTGTTTTCTTTTACTCATCACCTTTAACAAGAACCTTTCGTTTTTTAGTTCTTTTTCCAAATGCATTTCAAGATCTCCGCCCATCAACAACAACTGATGCAGCAGATGAAACAACAGCAATCCCGCAATCCTCGTCGTCCTAACCCAGCCCCAGGTGCCCCACCTCCACCTCCTGGGGTGACTAACAACCCTCAAGGTCCATCTGGTCCCCCACCGCCTCCGGGATTCAACCCACCTCCTCCTTCTGGCCCACCATCTGGTCCACCTCCAGGACACGGACCGCCCTCGGGTCCACCGCCCGGCCACGGACCACCCTCGGGTCCACCACCCGGCCATGGACCGCCCTCGGGTCCACCACCCGGCCATGGACCACCCTCGGGTCCACCACCCGGCCATGGACCACCCTCAGGGCCACCTGGCCCCCCCAGTCTGATTCCACCGCCACCTCGTAACGTACCCTCGGAGAACCCCCTCAATCCATTCGCAGCGAGATAACTCAGAGAACATTTCGTTTTAAACATTCACACGTCAGTGTAAGAAATACGACGATGAAAACCTCTAAGTGGACAATTTTTCAACTTACCTATTTTATCATTTCCAAATTATTACTTGTACCAAACCTTTGTAAGTAAAACAGCTTTTCAAGAAACTTCTCGCCTATAAAGGTTATTCAATTCCAACTCGTTTACTCGTTTACCCCCTGCTAATTAGCACCCTTTGTCTCTTGGTGGTCGAAAGAAAAATTTAAATAACGTGCAATTTGTCTTTGCGAAATCCGCTCGAGTGCGTAGCGTGAGAAATGTTGCTATGTTTGAAAAAAGCACTTCAAACGACGGAACTACTTGTTCTTCAACACCTCCCTGAATTGGTTAAAATTCGAGCAATTTATAGTATTCTGTGGTTTGGACATAGTTACATTTAGCGGGTTTCATGTGCTTGTCGCGTGATTGAAATTGCTTAATTAAAAAAAAAATTGAAAAATATCCCGAGACAAATACATATTAAGCAAATAGGTTGTTTTAATGAGCTTTTTTGTCAGTCAAATTTTGGTAAATGATATTCGAGATATGCGTGACAAACGTGAGAAAGAGGAGATGATCAACCATCCAAATTTTTCGTTATCATCTGCCAAAGTCTGCCTTGCAATCGCAAGTGTAAGCTTGAATTATAATCATCTCAATGATTAATTGATTATATAATCCACAGCTAGCCACCCTTGCTTCATTCTTTTCACTGCGGGTGAAAGTTGTTTTGCGGGCTAGCTAGGTAACCAAGCCTAAAACACCTTAATTCCGATCCTGCCCGACAAACTGGTCGAATTGGCATTGCCTGAGTAGCCAACGGGCCGGCCGGCCATACTTCGTCACACCCTAGATAGTTCATGGATACATTCTGATTATTTTTGGAAGAATAATCGCTTTTTACAAGATTTCTCAACACGGAACTACATTGTCCACATTCGAGGAGTGTATCTGGATCATTTTAAAAGCGATCGCGACGGAGTTTCCTCTAGTTTCAAGGCATAGAACGTCGACAAAGTTCGCGCTTATAGACTGGTATGTGGTTGATTCATGCTATAGGCTATTAAATCATATTCAAATGAACTTTAAACTACCCGGAAAATGTTAGTTGCTTCGCGTATTTCTACTCTGGTTTATTTACAAGACAGAGCGCTGAAGTCAAGGCTTAAATCTGCCGGGTCCTTGACAATTTCTTTCCGAAATTTACCCAGTATTTCGCAAGTTCAGAATTCCTCGTTCGATTTTGTATCCGACAGATTTTGAAATGTGAACCCGCCGAGGCTTGAAGCAGCTTTTATTTTGTTTGTTTTGTGTTTTTGAAGACAGGTTAGCAGCGTTTTTCTAAAACGTTGTCGCGGAAGGAATATAGAAGAATTTCCCACAGGTGAAATACACGCTGGTGAAATACTGCATTCTAAATTTTTGTATATATATTTAAGAATATTCGAGAGACAATTTGAAATGATAAATGTCGGTATAGCAATCTACGAATTCCAAGCTGTAATTGTATGAGTTTTTGTTTCGATTCTTGCGCAGAAGTGTGCCTTATTTTCTATCATCCAATAACTTTTTATAGGTCTTTATTTTATTTCAAATTTACTCGATGTTAAACTGTTTATACAGAAATGAGTTGAATGAAGAGTAATCTAAATCCTTGTCAATACAAGTGCTTTCTTCCAAATAACATGGGATTATATATAATTTAGCCAACCCTAGACTCAGCACATCTCAATGTCTTTACATTCTCCGAAACAATTCTGCTAATCTTTGGCAGAATTTTCAATTTGTGTCAATTTTGTGAGGTATTTTTTTCACACAATTGAAGGGTTAATTTTGTGTCATTATTTATATATTTGAGTACATGTCATGGCTGTTAAAATTGACCAATGTAAGCCTTTATTTGTGTATAGCTTGGTAAAAATATTTAGAGTTTATGTCCAAAGCATTCAATATGTGAGTAATTTGTCCAGTTTTTGCTTTGCCATTGAACAAAGTCCTTCTGATTTAAGTTGAATTTTGAGTTGAATCCATTCATTGTGAACACAGCCTTTTTAAGTCAATGTTCAATACAAAAACAATGTCATAAAGAATAATTCACACATGTATATCTGCTGGAAGCACAGCACTGAAAATAAATAACACCACACGTCCACAACATATAAAATATTCCTAACAAGGTTTTTCTTTAAAGATAACTAAGTGTATAAAAAGGCCCATGTAGTATATTAACATGCAAAGATATTAATATTGTGTTTGTTTTTGAATTGACACCTGTAGGGCTTGTCTGTAAAAGGAAAAAAATGGGGTCTCGCCCAACATACCCATATACATGTTACTTCCTATGCTTCCATATGCACCAAGGGCAAATTTGCCTTAGGTCATGGCTATGCTTAAGGCAAAGAAATATGGAGCTTGTAATAACAATAATGTATATAATCAGTAATAACAATAATGTATTCCTGAAATAGCATTTATAGTTAAAATAGCAGTGTTGATTATTTAATAAGACACATAAAAAAGCCTAAATGAAACCTAAGTTTTGCTTTTAGAAGAGAATTCAGAAAGTGACAAAAATCTATTTAAAGTCTTTACAAAGCTTGCAATGAAATTTGTGCTATTTTGTGTACTTCAGTGTGTTACCACTTGTCAAATTGAACTATAAGTTGTTATGTCAATGTCAAGAGGAATTTCTATAGATATTGTAATTTGAACTCACAGCTCTCTTTCATGGCCCACCCCTCCCAATAAATGGCCTTTTGTTTTCATTATTACAATAAAAAAGTGACTGGTTTATCGAGTAAAAAAACTTAACCACAGTGGAATATTTTATGCCAAACCTGTTTCCATTTCACACATTTCTTGAACTGGTAGCAAGTTTCAAAAAGAAACTACTTTGTATGATGACTAGACCTGTCCAGATTATTATCTTGTATAAATTATATCTCAAAAATGCTTTGGTTCTGTTGTACAAAAGCTGGACAGTGCCCTCCATCCTTATATTTACCCTTGGAAAACTTTTTTACAATCTTTCTTTTGTACAATTGACCACATCTAGTTTTGATTTATGATTTTAAAACAAAAGCTTTTTCTTACTGTTGAATTGGCAAATATTGTTAGGAAGTCTAAGTTTCTAGAAATATGTGTTTGTCATTGCTAAACCTATGTATTATTTTGTCAGGTAATTGAGTGAGGCTCATCTTCGATCATCAAGATGGGCAAGTTACTGTCCAAAATCTTTGGCAACAAAGAAATGAGAATATTGATGTTAGGGCTTGATGCTGCTGGGAAAACTAGTATCCTTTTGAATTTGTAGAACAGCATTTCAGTTTATAATTTATAACATTTATAATTTTTATAACCTTTCATAAGGGGGAATGTACCCTCTATTTGTCTTTTTGATCTAAGAGGGATATTTCCAGGATATACCCTATTTTGGTTTGAGAGGGTCTTTCATATACCCTCTCTTTGGTCTGAGAGGGATATAAAAATATTCCCAATGAAAGAACAAAAGGAGGCAAATTCATAAGTAATTGGGGAGAAAATCAAAGCTTAAAAGAAGGTTCTGAGAGAATAAAAATTAAAGATTCAAAAGCAATTAAGGATTGTTTAAAATATTGTACTTCTAGCTATTTTATTAATGGCAGTGCATACTGTTCTTCAAATTTAAGGTGACAAACCAAGTTTGTTTTTTAAGTTGGTTTCCTTGACAACTTGTGTAGCAATATTATATAAACTTAAGCTTGGTCAATCTGTGACGACCATACCCACCGTAGGATTCAATGTTGAAACAGTAACGTATAAAAATGTTAAATTTAATGTCTGGGTAAGTATATTACACTAAAATCCATGTTTTCATCAAATGTGGCATAAAACTGCCTGAAATAGAGAGAAAACCTCTTGAGGTTTGACCCAAGGTGCTTTGTTTTAAGGGTTAGCATGACAAAAGCCTTAGGTTGAAACATCAAGCAGTTTCTTGGTTTGTTTTAGACAGTTTTCATACCACACTTGATAGGAAGTTGTGATAATCCACTGAGCTGCACTTAAACTGGAGTACTAGCCAGTGCTTTAAGATGTTTGAACCACTGAAAATCCGCAACAAGGCCTACTCATTCTCAATTTCTGACCTTTAAAAAGTTCCAGTTATTCGACGTCAGTAAATTTAACTTTTATTATTATAGGACGTTGGTGGGCAGGACAAAATACGACCGCTATGGCGCCATTATTATACTGGTACCCAGGGTTTGATATTCGTCGTGGATTGCGCGGACAGGGATCGTATCGAAGAAGCGAGACAGGAACTACACAGAATTATAAACGATCGGGAAATGAGGGATGCTATAATTCTAATATTTGCGAACAAACAGGATTTACCGGACGGTAAGTTAGCACGTGTTTGGATTGATTTTGATCTCCATGTGCTCTGGAGTGAGGATAAATCTTTCTTTGATGCTACATTACAGTGAATAAAACCCCATCTTTTTCTGTTTCTAGCGATGAAACCTCACGAAATTCAGGAAAAACTCGGCCTAACTCGAATTCGCGACCGGAATTGGTACGTGCAACCGTCGTGTGCGACAACTGGAGATGGTCTTTACGAAGGATTAACATGGCTGACGTCAAATCACAAATCGTGAGTCCGGAATCATTTCGCGCCGCAAAAAAAACCCCGAGAAATATTAGACCTTAAAAATGTATGATAGACAGAAAAGTTATTTTCGAATTTTCAAATATGCACAATGCTGTACAATGTGCAGAATTGCTCGTTTCAGAGCTATGGCTAAAACGTGATGAAAGTTAACAGTGAGGTAGGAAATAAGAGTTTTAGCACGAAAGCCGGCGTCTCGCTTGTTTCAAGGTCCACCTGGATTGCAAACCCTCTTTGTTCACTTGTGCAAAAAATGAAACCAACTCAACATTGACAATAAAATAGAAGTGATAGGCTAACGTATACTCCTGGTTTTATTTTTTCGCTATATTTTATTTCTAAATCATTAATTATCACTATATGTAGAAAGTTTGCGGCACTGATCTGAAAACTAAACTGGATAGCACGAAGTTTACTCGAGGAAAATGTGTAACCTGTTTATCGGGCGCGTACGTTTTCATAATTGAAGGGGAAATCGGGCAGAGATGCGTGTAGGCTAGAGGTGGATATATGGTAGTGTTGATGTGATATTTTGGGTTTAAAAAATTGAAGATATACTTTCTCTCATTTCTTTCCTAAACGTCTTGGAATTTTTAGAAATAAACAGTCCAGTTTTGTTTCCTGATCAGGGTCAAAATTAGCATTACTCAACAGTGAACTCTAAGGGGACTGGAGCGAGACGAGAATTCATCGTTCCAGTAATTATTGAGGTCACTGGCCCTCTTCAGCACGTATAAAGTATTTCTGAGTAAAATACGGTCATTCGAAGGAATTGTGTCCGAGTGATGATATCCCGTTACGCGCCCAGAGTGTTTTCAAATCCATTTCGGACTGGAATTTCTATTTTCGAATTACGAAAATTTCAACGAGTTACTATATTTTTAGATAGAGTTAATTTGTTCCTCGATAAGTTATTGTAAAATATGGCAGTCGGCACATAGCGTTTAGCCTGAATTGACCTTCGCACGCATCCTTATGAGTTTGCACATGTTATATACAGAAACCTGCCATAGAAAAACATTCATGATCTTTCAAAGTGATGAGGATTTTATTGCCCCGTATGTACTGGTATAACTAACTCCTGTAAATTTAATCTGTTTATTATTAGGACAAATAAATTGAAACGAAACCTGTATATTCTTAAACTTAAAACCTTTTTTCTTATTGTGTTGCAACTTTCAAACTCGTGTTACATCGCACGCTGTATAAAGCAACAAATTTCGAGAACAAAGATGGCGGTATATTTTTTACAGTTTCCAGGTACCGGAATGTTCTGGAACCATATATTAGTTAGTATGGGATAAGTGCTGACTTCACTGAACCATATATAGAGATTGGTGATTACGTCTAGTCGGTTCATTGAGCCAAGCAAATGAACCAAGATTGTGACGTGTGCCTTTAAAATGGGCTTTTTTGGACAACTAAAAAGCGCACTTCAGGCTTAATCCTGCCGACTCTGTTTTTTTATACCAATTTCATCATAATTACGACAACGTAATTTCGCTTTTAAAATTTGGATAATCTGATTTGTAACGTCAGTTGAGTCCTCAGACTGCGTAGCCACAAGGAACAATAAATTAGGCATACGACGGTATTGCTTGTTTGTTATTTTTATTTCGTCGACATGAGTTAAATGTTCGTAACAGGCCAAGTTAATCAGGTTTATTATGCTCTACGTAAAGTTAAAATGACGTCTACTTTTTGGTGAACACAGGGTTAAAAAATGTTTCTTTCCAGCATGGATGCCAGCGTTTTTCCTGAAAATTCTTTAAGTTTTCACGAAATTTGTCCAGCGACGATTGATTTCTGGGAAAACCAGCCAGCAATTCTTGCAAATGTTCTGCCAGCTGTTCTGGACCATGAAACACTAGACCATTTTCATCATGCTTGACCAACTCGTGAAGACTAAAAAAAATGAAGGTTCGTTTCTTTACTAAGTTCTAATCATGCTGGATTTCAATTAACTAAAATCAATTTTGATTTTTTTCAATGAAAAAGGCGAAGTATTATTGTGTTAGATAAATTTGAATAGACTTGCCAACTCAGGCAGGTATTTATTTGACTAGGAATAAAAGGAGTTTCAGCAAACTCTTACCATGAAAAACCAATTGCACAAACTGGCACACCACAGCCAAACATATCAACAACTTTCATTGGCAAATCGAGGCCTGAAGATGATGTGTGCAAACATATACCCAAATCAGCTGACCCAACCAGGGTGGGGTAGTCCTCAGCCTCCAACCATGGTGTACAAATCTCAACATGGTCAAAGTCAGTTTTTGATATTATATCCTGGTAGTAGGCCTTCAATGGACCTTTACCTGTGATGACACACACAAGACTTGGGAGTGTTAAGGCTTCAGTCATTTTGTCATACTGTTGCAATGCCTCAAGGAGGATTGAAAAGTCTTCATCCTCTGTCCAGCTAGTGCTGCTGATTAGTAAGGCAGGACGGTCTGGTATTAAGGTGGTTCTGCCACTCACGGTAGTTGTAAATCTTGTTTCAGTGGTATTCTAGAAATTTAAAAACTGTTTAGGTTATGGACAAAATTATCCTGGAAGAGACTGAGGGAGATGGTAATTTCTTATATATTATTTTATATTCCTGTTGCTTTTATAGAATCTGGATATTCTTTTTAAATGATAGAAGTTCAAGGCCTATTTTCAAACACAAAACAAACCTCATTTTTGACAGATTTGAATACATCATAGCTTTCAGACAATTTAAGAAAGATCTTATGTCTTGCATTCTCATCCACACTTTTAAATCGCTTTGGTGGTCTGTCGTAAAGTGTAGTTGCTGTTACATTCCATCTCTTCTTTAAATCTTCTTTCATTGCTTGTGTAACACATATATTGTATGCAGCCATGCGTCCAAAGATGCCCTCATAAAACTTCGAAAACCTAACAAGTGGATTTTTGCTGCCAATGGTCAATGAGAGAATGGTATAACCATAGTTGTGCCAATCTATGATAAAATGCGATTGGCGAATCAGACATAGTAGCCATGCTGCGGCAAGTGTTGGGATTGCCGGAGGGTTTTGGACAAGAATGTGAGAGTGCTTTGATGTTTTCCATAAGACAATGATAATTAGTTGCAGAAATAGGAATATTGTCTTTGCTAGATAAAAAAGTAAACGAGGTAGCCATCTTGGCTTTACAGGAGGTTCAGACAGAGGCACAACATGAACTAGCTCTTCATCCTGTAATTCTTGAATTAGAGGTGAATTGTCAAATCCAGCAATATTGACTTCAAAACCTTCCTTGGCAAATGACAAGGCATGGTACTGCATTCTTGGACTGCGACCAACATCCCCCAAAACTATTATTAATATTCTCTTTTGAACAACTGTCCTGAAATTCTTAATACAACCAAACAATATGATGATAGTTATGGAGATAAACACCACTGCGAATAAAGCCATAAACATTTCAACTATTTTATTTTAATGTTGTACAGATACTGCCATTTATTTAGATCATGTCGGATTTCCGTCGCGAAATATTTTTCCGGAAGTAAATCGTCAACCAAATCGAACGCCATCTGATTTCTTACTAAACGGAAAAAGGCAATCAATTTTACTTTTTTTTTATCAAATTAGCGATTAGCAAGTCAGGGGGAAAAGTCTATCTGCCTATCTAAGCCCTTAAATTTGCTATAATTGTCCTAAAATTCACAAAACGGGGTAAAATATAAGATATTTAACCAATGTAGGCTACGCGAATCTTAGCGATTTTGTTTTCCCGCCAAAAGTTTTACGAGAAATTTTGTATCGTTCGAAATTCGCTGGCTCATGTTTATGTATTGGCACGGCGATTTAAACTTCGAAGTTACGAAGTTGTTTATATGCTTTTCATATAGTGCAATTCCCTTGGAAATCGGTGCGATCTTTAGTTAAATTTGGACGATCGACGAATTGTACGAGCGCTGCAAAGTGTTTGCTGCGCCGTTGTCGTCAAAATTATTTTGGATCCGAGGCGTTTGACATTTTAGTGAATCTGAATCGTACTCGTACTACCGGTAAATTCTTAAAGGCTTTCACTTTCGGTATTGAGGTGTAATCTAGTAACTGAAGAAAGAGCATCGTATCCTGCACAAGTAGAATTTGTACTTTTTGAACATAAAGGTATGTTATGAATGGTAGCTTGAATGGTATCTTGATTTTTGTGAACAGTACGAAATACAAATATGGACAAATATATTCTGGTTCAAATATAAGCATTGTATATCGGATGCCTTGAAGATATATTGTTTATATATTTTCAAAACTTTTGAACAATTAAATTGAGGAATAATCGAGCAGATCCGTACTAAAAGTCTATTACTATATCTTACGGAAAATAGACCATTTATGTGGACATTCGGGTAAGATTCCTGCCTATATAGCCTGCGCGATGCAGACCCTTGATCAAAATCAACAAGAATTTCTTTTACTGTTTACAGAAATGAACAAGCCAATTCCTGGAAGTTTAGCGAAAGCAAATGGTACCAATATTCCCATAGGTCATCTTGATTATAGTTATATAAAGGATTGCAATGATGCAAAAGAACTTGAAGAAATTATTGGGGTTTTAAGGTTTGTCAAAAAAATATTCTTTAAGGATACTGTAAAATGAGCAGTTTGATGGAGAAGATATATGATTTCCCTATTTGTAGAATATCTTTATTATATTTAGATATTCTGAAGAAGACTCGAAGTACCGAGTCGAGATTAATAAAAAACCATTTGCAATCCAAGAACATTCATTGACAAACAAATAATATGCCTAGATTACAAATCTTTAAACATGATTTTCTTATATATAATATAAGATAATATATATATATGATTTTCTTATATATAAATACATTGATTAAAGTGAAGAGATTTACAAAAAATAGATTGGTGTACAAAATGACAAACACATAGCAAATTGAATTATTGTAGATATGGTTTATTGAATGCAAACAATCCATTACACTGTCATTAACCAGGTTCTATATCTCTCAATTCTGTACCAATAGAACAGGCAAAGAAGGGTATTATCCTGAACTTGTGGAATTTGCTGAGAAGAAACTGAAGGAACTCAATCCAAAGAGGTTTCTTTGAAGCAATGATTTTATTTTGTGATTAGCTATTTACTTCCATATAACCTTTGATGCCTTTTCTTATTGCTTTTTTTGTTTTGTCATAGTGAAATACTACGGAAAGACAAACCAGCACCAACTGTGAAAGATCTCAATGCTGATGAACAAAAATCTCTGACAGAGGATTTCCAAGTATGTCCATATAAATTTCTGTTTAATGCAAATTAGAGCTAGGGACTTGGGTTGTAATCCATGATTCCCAGCCTTGTACCCAGGTGCTTTAATAGTAAAAATTATGTTGCATTCAGTTATTGCATAGAGGTCAGCTGAAAAAAATATGAGTGCGCAGGGGGGCTCAGGACTACTCCAAGCACCCTCGCGTGCTTGCTTTTTTCAACTGACCTCTATATAAGACCTGAATGCAACATGTATTTTACTTTTAAAGCACCTGGGTACCTATTCCTATATGCTCCGGTAAGCATTGAACTAATGCAGGCAAAAAAGGGAATTAATGTCAAGTCAATCTCTCTATTCTCCCAAAGATAACTTAGATTATTGTGATGTATTAATAAGGTCTGTAAGGTTTAAAAAACACGTTGTTTTAAACTTATAGGAATGGATAGAGCAGGCAAATGATATTGACAAGAAGCTAAGAGAGTCAAATGGACAGGCTGAAGAGACGAATGTTGATGGTTTGATTCCAGTCAGATCTAAAAAAACCATTGTCAGTGGTTCTGACACAAAAAATGTAAGATGTTGTTTGGAATTGCCTTGTTGTAAATATGATAGTTCAGACACCTGTTATAATTATGTTACTAATTCATCATTTTAGGCTGAAAAACCCACAACTGAATCAAAGAAAAGAGTGAAACCTAGGGATTATAATGAGTGGGATAAGTATGTTTTAATTATCAAAAATAATAGGTCTGGTACTAGGGCACAGTTCATTGTAGTTAGCAGGACATGATCAAGCTAGTGCATGCACCATTGTGTCACTTCAATCAAAAAATTTTTGATGTATTAAATATTTGAAGAAAAAAGCCTCTAGACGCCTCTAGACGCCTCTGATGCAGGGGCGAGACGAGTCATTTCATAGGAAGCCCAGACAAATGGGTCGGCCATTTGTCTATACAACTAGTGACGTAACTTATAATATAGTAAGTTACGTCACTAGTTGTATAACATATAGTAAGTTACGTCACTAGTTGTATAGTCAAATGGCCGACTCATTTGTCTTGGCTTCCTATGGTCATTTTGGAAATTAAAAAACCTGCTAAGTAAGGCGTTTTGTAGTAAAATGTGTACACATGTTGTGAGTCTTAAAATCCCTCTAAAATCCTCGCCAAATTAATAAATTAATACGTTCTTTTCAATGCACATGTACCTTAGTAATGTTACCAAAACACATATGTTGAAAGCGACATGCACCTGACACTAAGTTTTTGTATATCCATGGTTAGCCTAACTACAAAATGGTATATGATAATATTTTTGTGTGAAATAAATCTGTTTTGTTGAGGTTCGAAAATTTGAAATCTGTACCGGGTATTAAATTGTAGGCTTAACGTCGACGAGGAACTGAAAAACGTGGACAAAAAACAAGAAGGTCCAAAACCTAAAGTTGCTCAAACTAAAAGTTCAATGAATGGGCCAGCAGTCTCAACTAAAGGTTAGATCCAGTTATCCGATCAGTCTTTTTTCTTTATCAGTTTCGTTCAGTGGTGAATGATGATATCATTGAAAAAGGGCGGATCCAGGGGTAATAAAGATTGTAACAAAATTACTAGCAATAAACTAGCAAAAGCGATAACCGAAAAAAACAACAAAACAGCGCAAAAAGCAACTGAACAACAATAACTCCAAAGATGCAACAAGGTATACAACACGAATAAATAACAAAAACAATAATACAACAAGAACAATAGCAACACTGAGTAAGAAGAAACAATAACAAAGAAAATTAAAACAAATACGATTGCAATTGCTACACAGACAATCAGACAAACAAAAACAGACAAACGTGATAAAATATACCGAGCTGTACCAACGATAAATATTTGCACAAGTAAAAAAAATCGATCATTAATTTGTTAGATATGAATGCAGAGGAACGGCTACTACGGGCCACAAAAGAGAAAGAAAAAGGAAACGAAGCATTTCGTGCTCAGGATTACTCCGAAGCAGTTATTTACTACACAACAAGTTTAAAATACGAACCTACGGCTGCAAGTTATAACAATCGGGCTGCTGCAGGTTAGAAATGGTCCGCAATTATGGGTGAATGGTTTTGACATCCGGAGCTAGTTGTATAAAAGATTATAGTTAACTTTTAACTGTAGTTAAGGACAGAATTGGCCAATTAGAGTTGTGTATTTATTGAGTTGTGTATGATTCCACTCGAAATTAAAACCCTTTAAAAAACCTATGCAAAATGTAGATAAAATTCTAAGTTGCAATAGCTAAACTTTTCCTGTTCATTCGGATTTTCTTATTCTAGAATTGAAAATTGAAAGATTTTCTGAAGCGATCGAGGACTGCTGTAAGGTTCTTGAAATAGAACCAAAAAATTTAAAAGGTATGCCGGGTTAGTGTTTTGCATTTGTCTTGGCGTTCAATAATACTAATGTTCCTTGTTTTTTTCCCAATGCAGCTCTCATACGCCGTGGAATAGCCTATAAAGCATTAAAACAATACGAACTCGCTGCAAAGGATTTCAACTTAATTCTGAGTATCGACCCAAAAAACAAAAGAGCGAAGGTGCCGTAAAAACATACGTTATCTACCCACCCGTATTTGATGTTAATTTTTTGATAATATCTTGTTGAATGTTCCATTTTTACAGGATTTATTAGGAGAAATTCAAGCCACGAAGAAGTAAGGCTTAGTTTTATTATTTTGTCGATTGACAACCTCGACATGCGGGTCATACTCCGGGTATACTCCATATGCGGGTATATACCGGAATATGGTATACTCAACCTTAGTAATAAAACAATAGTGAAGATCGAATATACCGGAATATGGTATACTCGACCTTGGTAATAAAAAAATAGTGAAGATCGAATATACCGGAATATGGTATACTCAACCTTAGTAATAAAAAAATAGTGAAGGTTGAATATACCAGTATATGGTATACTCGACCTTGGTGATAAGAAAATATCAAAGGTCGGATATACCAGAATATTTTTTTACGGACGTGAGTTGCCGTTCGCAAAAATAGACGTCATTACTGGTACGAGTTGGTAGCCCCACTCTAACTCAGAATATTTATATGCTAATATTATAGGTCAAATAACGTGCAAACCCAAACAGAAACAAGAAACGTTGATAGCAACAAAACTCAAAATGTAGATCAAGATATCTCGGGCGCAAAAAGAAAAAAGAAGCGGTTAAATATAGTCGAAATT